TTTGATTAGTCTATCAATCATGCCCTGTAGCACAGTTTCTTCCTTAGCCATTAACACAAGGTCATCTGCATATTTCACAGTTTGAATAATTTGCCCTCCTAATTTGAAGCCTCCAAGCCCATCCAGAGGCATTCGCTGTACAAGTTGAACAAAATTGGTGATAAACAGCATCCTTGTCGAACTCCTCTTCCAATCTTCACACTTCTTGTCTCCATTCTGTCCAGTCACACTCTAACTTTCTGATCCATGTACAATTTACTCATCAATCTTCTTTCACGCCAATCAATACCTGTTTCGTTCAGGATCTGCATTAATTTGGTCCAATTTATATGGTCAAATGCCTTCTGCCAGTCTATAAAGCAAGCACACAGTTCTTCATCTATCTCCAAAGTTCGTTCTGCTATAATTCTCATCATCCCAATTGCATCCCTGGTTCCTTTTCCTCTTCTAAATCCAAACTGATCCTCTCCAAGTATATCCTCTATTTCCTTTCAATTCTTCTTTTACATCCAACAAAATTTATTTCAAAGCCAACTGTGACTTTAACAGTATATGAATTAACAAAGCATTTTACGTGAAGACATCTGATCTGTTCACATAAGGAAAAACCCTCCAGTATGACAATTCAGTCAATATAAGTTGGTCCTTTTCAGTCATGCATGTAGCTCACATTCATATATCACAGCTGGTTTCATTAAAACTGAATAATAAAAGACAGACTTTCATCCGAAGTAAGAAGCAGAAAATGTTGAAAATCAATTATTTTGTATGGTTCTAGAATATCTCTATATAAATCACATGCAAAAGGAATCTGACCTCTACACACCAACCAAAACAGGCCAAGAAGAAATATGATCAGTTCATTGATAAAGAAAGCATTAATACACATTTGCTACCATACAGGCTGGTCTCATGATAATGGTCTAGACTTGTATTTGGAAGGTGATCACTCTGAATCTGGCTGGTATACCAGCCGCCCCAACTGAGGCTTTTTGTGATTTTCGTCATTCCAGCTAGGAAAATTCCTGGATAGTACCCTCGATTAGGCTATATTCCTTCCTTCCAAATCTTTTCCAGTTTATCATTCATCTATCATCCTATCATCTGACACTATACAATCTCAATACTGAGAGCATTATTAAGTAACCCATGAACTGAAAAAAAAAATACAGAGCCATTAAAACATTTTGTCAATTAAGAAACCAAGACACACCACAGAATTGACTGGCACAGGGACTCCGATCAGGCTTGCCATTAGTGGTGCAACATCTGCTTGACTAACATCACTGCGAGATAAATGTCCCAGTCTCCAGGAAGTTGGACTGGAAGGTTCAGTACTTCTAGTCAGTCGGGGTCCTCTCACACCTGTACCCCAGGCAACCAAAGGTGTCTCTATCTCATTCTTATCACCTGCTCCATGGGAACCTACAAACACACATAAAATTGCCAGCACCTCCTGGATAAATTCAAGGAATGTGTGAGATCGAAATTGCTGACAAACATTCATCAGTTTACTTATCTATCTATTATTTACTTAAAGTTCAGGATGAACAGCATTACATTATATGATAATTCCTGAATAATGAAGAGACTAAATTAAAAATAAAAGGTTTTGAGGAGTTCGAATTAGTCTACAGGTAATAGTCCAGAACCTCCTGAACCACACAATGTTACATAATCTTGAAACTGACAGCATTGTTATAACCCACCCCCCTTAAATCAGAAAGGACAGAACAACGACATCGAGATGGGCGCCGTATCTAAAATTTTATGGAAAGAGACCTAATGGATAACCCACAAAGAGACAGGTTAGTTAGATTTGAAAAATGGGAAGAAGAGAGGAAAGAGCTGGCACAAGATCAAAAAGCAAAGGTGTTGGGAAAACAGAAAAGGTTGGAGACTTCTTGCCCATTGACAGGGATAAGAAGGAAATGATACTTGA